ATTTTCCAGTCCAGAAACCTTCTTTTAAGAGTGCTGCCAGTTGGTTTTCTGAACCTGTGACAGAGGAATTGGTAAAAATTTTTTCCCCACACCACATGAAAGGGAGTGAAAGACTTTTTGCTTCCAGGAATAGTCTAGGTTTAGTATCAGAGTGTTTTTATCTGCATCCCTTGATTTAGCAGGCCCAGAATTCTGTCTGTTTCCAGATTTTGTTTGAATTCACTGAGACACCAAGTCGGCATCCACATTTCAGCATGTTTGATCAGACAGTTTGGATGCGGTGGGGTTTTGGAGTTACAATTAAATTTCTTTCCTGACAAGGGTAGTCCATAACAGAGTGTAGCGGAGGAGTAAATAGTCAAGATTTGGGATATTATATATTCTTTCTGCCTCAGTTTCTTTACTTTTGTATGGGAAAGTTTAGATTACTTGTCTGTACTGAAGAGTTAGTTGTTTCCCTGTTAGCTCAGTTGAACTCCAGTTATAAACTGCTTCAGCTTTACTTTCTTCTCTACAGTATTTTCCATTTCTTCCTTCCATTCAATTACTAAATGATTTTTGAAGAGACTAATTAGTGTTTTTCCCCTGTAATTAAGGACCTTGTTTCCTCAATTTAAACTCATGCCAGAAAACCCTTTGAGTCTTTTCTCAATCTGTTCCATCTTCTATTTATCAATAAAATAGCTTATTTCCAGTATAAGGGCCCCTTTTATAGACAAGGCCATTGTTAAAACTTGTTGCAAATTTTTAACTTAAGGTATACTGGAGTGTGATTCATCTGTTTTTCCTCAAAACTAGAATTATTATTCACTTTACTTTTGATGACAAGGAAAGATCCTATATGAAGATTTGTTTACATCTGTGGTACAGTTATTCAAGAGGTTGTATTTCAACTCAGACAGTTTTCAGTTGGATAACTGTGCATGAATGTGCTGTAAGGTAGTTAAAAAAGGCAGTGTTTGCTTTGATTAGAGCTCATTAAGCCAGCACTAAGCTATATCAGTGGCATTTGTCAGAATCTTGCCAGTACATAATGTTTGTAAGGCTGCCAGTGGAGCTCCATTCACACTTTGAGTACTAAACACTGTCATTGAAGTTGAGGAAATAAAGCCACTTTGGAGAGAGCAGTACTTTAATTAGGTAGAGACTTTGGGACTGCATCTTCTGACTTAGCATCAGCAGGATACCAGTGAAAGTCACCCACGCAGTGAATGTGCGTATATCGTTGTCTCTATGTGCAAACCCTTCCCATCTTTCCCATTCCACAGAGTCCTGTTTAGATTTTGTATCACTAGATTGAGAGAGGAAAGAAGTAGCCTTTTGTGCCTAGGAGGTAGTGGGATTTAAAGTGTCCCCTGTAGATCTTCTGTGAGAGCTTGTCTTCTCAGTGTTTCCAAAACCCTGTTTCCATTGCTTTCCTGGCAGCTTTTGACATCTGCTCTGCTCTCCATTCCCATTGCTATTACATATTACAGTTCTTCTGTCTGTGCAGTCATCCCAAACTGACTGTCATCCAGATGTAGGAATACAAGGTTCAAGATAAAATCTTCACCTATATCTTAGTGCAGCTTTTCAAAGTTTTGAAGTGGATAGTACTTAAGTACAATGCTTATGCATGTGATAAAACATCTAAATACAGCAGGAGCAAGAATAAGACAAGTAGGATCAGCTCTGCTTCTAGTATTTACCCGTGTCCTTCAAGACTGTTTCTCTGCAATCCTCAGTGATTTCTAGAATCTGACAATTGAGGAGCCACACTGTGGTTCTGCTACAGCTTACCTGAGAATTTTGGCATATTGCCCATTAATAGTAAATCATTATCTCCTACCCACATTCTTCTTCAAAGTTTTCCATGTATTTCCTTTGATTTTTCCTGATTTCTCAACTGCAATATGCATTACTGCATCTTTATATTAATACCTTTTTTTATTCACGTTACTTCTATTAGCCTTAGAGAAGGATTTAGTCCTAGGAGATTGACCTGTCCTGTGCTATCTTTTCCTAGACAATGCTGAGGATTGATCTGATAGTTTCACCGTGGTAATTTGTTTACTTTCACATCAGACAGTATACAAACTTACCTCCCATTTTTTCTCATGCTTTTCATCTCTGAGATTTGGGTGAGGTTTTGACCCATGGATATCATGCTTGTGTTTATGTACACAGTAATGTTCATAAACAGTTTTCAGAAAGGTCTCAAGTCCTTCTTCTCAGAGGTACTCTCAATCCCTTCATCCCCAGATTGTATTAATACCAGGGGTTGCCCCCACCCAAGTGCAGGACCTTGCATTTGGTCCCATTGAACCTCCTGAAGGTCACATGGGCCCACTTCTCGAACTTGTCCAAGTCTCTCTGGATGGCATCCCATCCCTCAGATATGTCAGCTGCACCACTCAGCTTGGTATCATCTGCAAACTGATGTGACCATCCAGCCAATTCCTTATCCACTGAACAGTCCACCCATCAAATCAGTATCTCTCCAGTTTAGAGAGAAGAATGTTGTGGGGGACTGTGTCAAAGGCTTTACAGAAGGCCAGATAAACCATATCCACAGCCCTTCCTTTGTCCACTGATCTAGTAACTCCATCATAGAAGACCACTAGGTGGGACTGGCTGGATGTGCCCTTGGTGAAGCTGTGCTGGCTGTCTTGAATCACCACCTCCCTGACCTGCATGTGCCTTAGCATAGCTCCTAGGAGGATCTGTTCTATGATCTTACAGGTCAGTAGTTCCCAGGATCCTCCTTTCTACCCTTTTTAAAAAAGGGGGTGATATTGCCCTTTTTCCAGCCACCAGGGACCTCTTCTGATTGCTGTGAATTCTCAAATACCTTGGAGAATGGCTTGGCAAATACATCAGTCATTCCCTCAGGACTCTGGGATTGATTTCATCATGTCTCATAGATTTATTTATGTTCGGGTTCCTCAAATGGTCACAAACCTTATTTTCACTTACAGTGGGAGGAACTTTACTCCCCCAGTTTGTGCCTTTCAGTTCATCCACTCGAGAGGTGTGGGGAAAGAGCATGCCAGTAAAGACTGAGGCAGAAATGTTGTCAAGTACCTCAGCCTTCTTGTCCATTGTTACCAGTTCACCAGCTGCAAGAGCTTTTGAAACATTTTTTTTTTTGTATTTATAATAGGATATAATATTTTAAATATTATGATAGGATAGGTTATTTGACTGTTTCATGTGTAATTTGAAAGAAATTCTAGGATACCTTTTTTCTTTTTCCAAGTTCTCAGGTGCAAGCAATCAACTTATTTCACAGGGAAAAAAATAATAGTGAGAAAACTGGTGATAAAATGTTTTGACTGACTTTAGCACTTCTACGGCACCAGAGTAAACTGTGTTCCTTTTGGGGTGATACAGTGAATTTTTCTTTGAAAGAACGTGTATGTGCACATTTTCCCTGTGGGTAGAGCATGCATGCAGTCACTTGAACAAAAGACTTTAGCTCTAGCATACTTAGAGCAAGCTTGCTCATACTTTAATTGAGAAAGAAGGAAATAATGACAAGAGAGTTTGCTAGTCATCTTGAACTATTCAAGGTAATAAAAAAAAATAATCAAGGCTAACTGAGGAGTTGGAAGACTGAAGACATTAAACAAGCAGTAAGGTGGCAGATGGAATTCAATGTAAATAAATGTAGTGAGGCGCATGGAGAAGCAATCCTCTACAACTATCAACTGTTACCATTTTTGGAAAGTAATTTGGAGGTCATAATAAATCTGGAAAAATACTAGCCTCAATGCTTAGGAGCTACCAAAGATGCAAACAGTGTAGTCATTACAAACAGAAGCAACAAGAACAGAAATTACCATCTTGTATCAATTCAGCTCTGGCGTATTTTCAATTGCTACGCTGTCAGATGTGTTTAAAGCTGCTGCAGAGTTATAAATAAATATGCATACATGCATACGCATCCCAAAACCAGGAATTACTGTTATGCGTGTCCCTTATAAGCTGTTAAATAATCCTCCCTTTTCCTTTAAGTATCTCCCATTTATTTTTTATTTCCATGTTTTCAGCTTATCATAAAAAGCAAATTTAAGATATCAGCGTTTAAGATACTCCTTTTTCTGTAAACTTTCTGCAAAGTTTTCTCTAAAAATCACCTCTTTAACCTTAAACAAACAGCAATTTATCTGATAAGTATACAAGGGAAAATAAGAGCAAAATATGTTTTCATCCATTTCTACTGTATCTTCATTGACATTCTGTAACAGAAATCACCTTTTTAAAGTTTCTTTTATTTTCTGGCTTCTAGGGAGCTTTAACTAGTTGTCGTGAATATGTAAGACTTGGTCGTCTCGGGTTTGTAACACAGCTTCTGCAGCCATGTAAAAGCACTGCAAATACAAAACTTGGGAAAGTAGAAAATTTGTCAGCTCTCAGGAGAAAGTCCCTTCAGTTCCTGCTGGCATGACATTGAATAAGACTGTTAAAAGAAATCTTTTGTATTGTAGGCCAGGGCAAAAATGCTAGTTGCAATTTCCTTCAGCAGACAGTTTTAGAAGTTGGATTTAAAAAGAAAGAGAGATGTAAGATACAAGTTAGATGAATCTGAAGAAACAGATAGGAAATACAGGACAGAAAATCTGTGCAGAAAAGGAAGCCTGCAAAAGACTAGCTGGCTGTCAGCATTCGGGTAGATACTGAGTAGAGAGAAGCAACTTGCCAAGGTAGTAGCTAGCTGCTTTTTCTAAACACCATTGTTTACACAACAAGGGCTAACATAGAAAAGTGAAGAATGTTGTAAAATGAGGTATCATCTAATGATCTCTATGAAAGAGGTACTAATGATCTGTAAAAACAGGACATATACCTAGTACTAGAAGAGAATTATGGATGATCAGAAGTTTCCAAAAGTAATTAAATGGCCAGTCTTTAAATTAAATTTTTCCAGCAAATTAATCGAATCATATAGTGGGTTTTGAAATTTAGACCTGATGGTATATTAACTTGATTTTACAAATATTTTCTGTTGTATTTTGCAGAATCAAGAGAAGTCATCAGTCAGTTTTCCCTCACTTCTTAGCCATATGACTTCCTCTTTCTTAAATCATCCTGTAATTCCAATGACAACATATGCAGATTCCAGTGTCCCAGAGATGCTAAATACTTTTTCTCCACTTATGTCATCCATGCCTTGTGACATGCATATAGTCAATCTAAGGACAATCCAATCAAAGGTAAGGTCAAGCTACTATTTTTATGAATAAACATATGATATAGTGTACTAATACAGTCTAATTAAATGTTTTATTCTAGGAAAGTAATTTGGAGGGGTTATATGGTATGACAAACTGCAGCATGGTGACTGTTTTTTACTAAATTTGCAAGAGCTAGAGGCTTGTGTCTGAGTAACATGAAATACAGGATTTTTTTTTCACAGCATAATAATATGCATAGGACATTATTTTATCTGTGGAGGGGGCATGTTTCAGTGTGTTCCCAAATTTTAAAAGCAGAAGGGTTCATATACCTTGGCCTTCTCTGTATTAATTAAATTTAATTTGTTTTTAAAATAAAGCATATCATTTTAAATCGTTCTGATTCCATTTTGGATGACTTAAAGAAAATCTACCACATATTAAAATCCATAGGAATAAATTATTTAAGCTTAAAAAATGTTTTAACACAATACCTATTTTAATTTTTCTAACATAGCTTACAATCCTTGGTTCCTGTGAAAAACAACCAAAAAAACCCCACCCTGTTCTGTACTCAATATTATTTTCTTTGCAAAGCAACCAAAACAACGGTAACCACCATATTTCAATTTTCTGTTTGATGAGCTATAAAGTAGAACTGTTTGTACATCTTGTATAAATTCTTTTCAGTTTTTCAACACCTTTTAAAATGTGGATGCATTAACTGTGGGGTATGAACGACATGGACTCAAAAGTATTTCCATGCAGCGAATCACTTAATTGCTTATTGCTCTAACTTTTATACTGTTCTAGCAAAAGCTATTTTTAACACATCATAATTAGTTCTTGAATTATAGTTTCGTTTTTCAACATTCTTTGTCGCTTCACAATCAGTCCCAGAATAACCAGTTCCTTGTCTTCATGCTCTCTTGCTTTTGTCCAGCTTGTTTGCTCTGCTTGATCATGCAGTATACTTTGTTTCTACTTGAACTTCTTCAGGCAAATGTTTTGGCAGACATTTATGTCCTTGTTCTTTCAGTTCGCATTCTAAATATATCCATCACATATTAAACAGATTACATATTAAACAGCAACCCGCATTAACTATATGATGTATTGCAGTATCACTCACCAGTGCTGTTATACTTGGATATTTACAAACTAGTTGTCCCTTCTCCCTTCGAGTCTCCATGGTGGCTGCTAGAACTGCTCATCTCTAATAACCTCAAATTATATTCAGCTTATCATAGTTCATTTTTAGTCTTAATCTTTATTTTAAAAGTTAAAGAATCAGTCACATTTTCTCTGTTAGTAGTTCCATCTCGGGTACACTTCTTTATCTGTGACTGTTTCTTATTTTTAATTTCAGAGTGGAATAACTCTTAGGCAGGTCTATGCCTTTGAATAGTTAGGAGGAAACTTTGTATTGAATTAATCTTCATGTGAAGTGTATGTTCCACATTTCATTGTAAAATTTTTTCATTTCATGAAACACCTGTTTGCTTCAGCATGTCAAGTTTACACCTTCAGGAACATGCACCCTTATCCTTTTTAAGGCCTAAACTTCCTCCCCTGTTTGTATCATGTCACCATGAAACCTGTGAAATGGAAGGCTGGTTCTATCTGCTTTTTTGAGCTCAGTGTTAATACTCACAAGTGAATTCTCCCACTATCGCAGCTGGTATAACATTGTTTGAGGTTATGATCTCTTCCCTGTCCACAACTGTATATTTCATTACTTGATCAGCAGCTTTAATGTGTGCACTTCGAAGTGAAAGCTATCAGTAGCAATAGGATAGGAGCACTATCTTTGTAGATACGGGACAGTTCTCCCCTACAGCAGAAATGTTGCTATGCCTTCCAAATCATTTCTTGCATGCCAAACAGTCTTTCTGAATCTCTCCTCATCTTCTTCTTCCTTTCTCAGTCTTCAAAGAATCTGGATAACAAGTGTCATAATTCTGGCTAATTGATGCATTGCAATTTTTTCCAGAAATGTAGACCACTTCTCCATTGTTTTAGCCATTGATTTTCAAGAAATTTTATCATTGCAATTTCACATAAAAGGCTACTGAATTTAAAAAAATATTAAGATTTAAGTAGAAATCAGAATGCATGAAAATGCCTTAAAGCATAAATGATAAAAAAAGTAGAGGGGTTCCTAGTTTCCCTTTACACTCTCCTCCTCTCAGCGGAAAGAATATTGGCTCTTGTTGTAAGATTGCAAGATATGTGCTCTTGTGATGGGAGAGTCAAGTGCTTGAGGAATATAAAACTTAAAAACTGGAGCTTTATTTTAAAATTCTTTAAGTTGTTTGACACAGATTTTACCTGCTGTAAATAGACTAGGTCTCAAGATTTAAAAGCTGAGTACATTTGTCCATTTATACTAAATGTAAATACATATTTTTGTCACATTGCTTGAACGTTTGAGTGCATGTCTTTTAGCTAACAGTAATCAGATAAAAAGCATATAAATGGTTTTTCTTGTCAAAATTTTAGCAGTATTGGCATGAGATACTGCTTATGAGAAAGCCTAGCAATTTGATTTTTTTTTTTTTTAACCTAGAAGCCTGATGTGAGAACTGCATTTTTATTTCTCAGAGATCAAAATAAATTTTGGCAGCTCTTCCAGGAAAGGTAGTCAGAGATTTGATAGTAAACTAGTTAGGGAATATTTGTCATATAAAAATTCTGTGAAGTTTTAGAAGATTAAAGATGTTGATCGTTGCAAATTGAGAAATTTATTACAGATTTTCATTCAGTTACCATGGTCATGTTTAGAAGATGTATTTGATGCAAACTAGGCTCATCCTTGCTCAAACATGTGTTAGGTTTGTATAAACTTAATCTAATTTACCTAGAGATGATTTGAGAAGAGGCAAATTAAAATAGATGCAGAGGCTTTGGCAAGTTAGTCTTACACCTACTTTGATAATAGCTTAGAACAGCTTAATTTATTACACATGGATGCTGTGTGCATGATAATGTTCTGGGAATTCTAAAAAGTTACCTACTTTATCACTGATCTGTATACTTACCAAAATTCTTTTTCTGAAGTACTCACTAGTTGTTTATTACCTTTCTGTTTACAATCTTTTGAATCTTAGTAGTATTTAATTTAAAATTAAGAGACTAAATATTCATGACATCATTTGAAATGCACAAATGCATTTGTTACACAGATTTCTACAAGGTAATTCCACTGTAATAAGAGAACTTGTAGATACCCATTAATGGCTTATCATTTTGAACATGAATTTACTCCATAGGAAGTGAGGCTTTTGTGGTATGAATTTTAATATTTGACTAATCTGATGTTTAGCAGACGGTATTATTTTGTGTGCATAAAACTGTCGGCTTTTAGGTGCTACACCATCACATCAGTAGCAATGAAAACAAAGTCATAGATATTTCATAGTTGGAGATGGAAAATAATTTTGTCACATCATCATTGTTATTTTAGTTAATGTAGATAGTGGTACTACTGTTCCAATAACAGGATGAGAGCTATTCAATTATCAGTGATATTAGGTACTGTAAACTTGCTTGAATATGTTCTCTGTAGACACCATTCATTAATTAAAAATCTGATTTTAGGTGGTTATAAGCTAAAGCGTATAATGAAAATCTTCTCAACATGAGTTTTATTCAAGATTTGTAAACTGAAAAGTTTTTACCAGTCAGTGTTTTATTGGAAAGTATCTCATTTCAATTCCTAATACTGTTGGGTAAGTTTTTACTGTGGTAAATTAGGAACTTGCTTAGGAAGCACCAAGTTTATTATTTACCATTTACCAAGTTTACCATTTTTTGTTGTCTGAGTCAGTCTTAATATTATGAATTTGTTGTATTATGAAGCTGTGTCATGCTGGGTTTCAAAGAAACTGGTTCAAGCTGTTCCAAGATCTCCATTACTAGGAGAAAAATTGTTTGGATTCACGACCTATTAGGTTAAGACCTCTCCAGTTTGTTACACCTTCAAGAGCTAAAGCTGGCATAGGTTTCTGCAAGGCAGCAAGTACTGACTGAAGTAAAGAAACCTACCTCATGGTATTTTTGGGAAAAAGCACTAGTATAAAAACAAGTAAACCAGAAATAAATCAGAGAAAAATAGCCTGAAGAATTTATTTTCTGATACTCTTGCTGTACAAGAGTAGTTTTCTGCATCTCAGTGTGAAAGAAAAAAAGAAGTTTCTATGCAAATTGAAGTTACCCAGCCAGTTCTAGGCTATGGCTTGAAATTCTGAAGTACATATGAGAAAAAGATTCTGATTTGAGGCACTTAAATGCTATCCTTGTGATCACTCATCCTAAGTAATTTTATTGGTTTGGTCCACACTAGGAAGTTATGGTTGTGGGTTACTCTTGGGTTATTCTTTCATGCCTATGTTTCAAGAATACTGTATGTCTTAGAGAAACAAAAAAAAAAATTAATATTTGCATTTTAGTGTAAAGTTTCATGTACACCTTGAACAAAGTTAGATTTTGCAGGGCAGATTTGCAAAATGAAAGCTTGATAGAACATAGTCACATATTGTAATTTACATATGATCTCTTTGGTTTTGGCTTTGCCATATAATTTTTCTGGGAATCCAACTAATAAAACTAGGATTACACTTAAATTCTGAGTCTGTACATGTGCATCTACTGAGCTTTGAACTCCTTGGTTAACAACTTACATTTATATTCAGTTAGGCTTTTTATATCTAAACTGCCTTGCTGTTTAGGTCTTTCTATGTTTAGTCTTCTAAACATTAAAAGAAACATGACTTTTTAATCTATGCTGAACATTGTTTAAGGCATAGATGGCTCCATCCCTGTAAGGTAATCATAATTTTATGAGGTTCTAAAATGTTCTTCTAGCTCTGCTACTTTCTGACTAATATTTTGTTTATTTGTAGGTAGATATTGAGCCGTCTGATGAAGCTGCTCTGATTCTTCACAGAAAGGGATTTGACTGTAGATTTTCAAACAGAGACACGGGTCTCCTCTGTTCCACTACTCAGGGAAAGGTAAACTGACATTTTATAGGTATTGTAGAAGCACTGATAATTAAGGTAATTAATAGGTGACGTCTAGGTGGTTATGTCTCAAGAGTTACACTTTCAGGATAATAGTTAAGTTTACCTTGAAAGTTGTTTTCCATTTGTTAAAGATATGTATCTGCTGGTATAAGGGAATGACCATGTAAGCATTAACAAGTAAACTTGTAGGTCATTTTTAATCTCATTAACTTCCTGTAATTGTTGTTTTCATAAAACATGGATCAGTACTTTTCAAATAATTTTTAATAGTGTTTTAGAACTTTAGTGTCTAAAAAGAGTCAAATTACATATTCTGAAGTGTATCTTTTTACTATTATTAACATATCCACAAACCATGTGACTGTTACTTTAAAAACTTGCTTATTATAGCATGTCTTTTGTCTACCCCTGTTCACTTACATGACCTACACCACTTGAAATATCTGAGTGTTTTGCAATTGCTGTAGAACTGATGTGATACACAAAATTATGAAATATGTACCATGAAACTTTGTTCTGAGGGTTACAGATGGAGTAGGTGATTATGAATCTCTATAAATTTTGTAATCAAATTTTTAAATTGGCTTGAGATTATCTTTTAAGCAGAAGAAAAAGTGTTGTTTCATTTAGAAACAAGAGTTTTAATCCAAATACATCTAATCAGTTTTTTAATATATTGATTTAATTTACTTGCTCTGAAATGTGGCAAGTAAACAGTGCCTAAAAAGATCTGATTTATTGTATAGCATTTGAGACATGGCACTTAAAAAATTCATAGTATTTGATGTGACAATTGCAATGCCGATACCTGTAAGGAGGTGTATCATTTGGATTGTTGTTGGAGATTAGGTTAAGGTCACTTTGAAGGTCTATACTGTATTTTCTAAATGTAGTAATATAGTTCTCTCTCTCTTTTTTCTTTTTCTTTTTTTTTTTCTTTCCCCTCCCAGATAAAGGTGCATAAACTCTTTAACAAATTCAAAGTGGAAAGTCTTACACCCACATCTTTATCTTTGATGCATTCACCTCCAGATGCCAGAAATATAAGTGAAATAAGTATGAGTTCTATGGAGATAAATACTTTCCGAATTCGGCTAAGATGAAAGCTGGCTTTAATACTCAGATAAAGAGGAATCTGCAATTGTATCTTCTCTAAGTTTTGTGTGCAATAAGAAGCACATTATTATTTTTCCAACTTTTGGATACTGTGAGAGAAACATGCATTCTGTAATTTTTTCGACCAACACAGTGAAAAGCCATGTTGCAAGCAACTTATTTTGTTTGGCTGGTTTTTGTTCCCACTCCCCCTGCCTCCTCTTCCATGTAATAGCAACATCAGTATAAGTTAATGCAGCAAGTGAAGAAATTTCTAAGGATGTTAACCTCTCAACAGATTAAATCTCAGGTTAAATGCTAACTAACTATGTTGCTGGTGTTCTAATTTTCGCAAAGAGGGGATTGGATTTTAAACAGTCTTCTTTGCTGATCCTTCATGAATTTATGTACAAATAATTCAGTGTAAAAAGTCCTGACGCAGCTTGTGAATAAAACGGAATAAAATGTTCTTATGTAGTAGCTAATGTCCAAATATTTACAGTCCTTTATATAAATGACAATAATCTCAATTTATTCCACAATTAATTTCAATTTATTCGACACAAAGGGGATTATTAATTGTGGTAAAATGAAAGCCTGGAGTACTTGTGATAAGTGATGGTAGGTTTTTAATACTTCTACCATTCACCTGAGTTATGTAAATAGGAAAACATGAACCTACAAAATAATTTTGCAATGGAAATGTTTAATAAAACTCCCATTTTGTTACTTGACACACTGGGATATGTGCAATTATTCCATTATCATGTATGATGAGAAATGTCAATAATTGTCGTGAATACAAGATTTTTTTTTATAAAACTCAGATAAAATGTTCTCTGAAATGAGTTTTCTATTTCAAGGTTACCATATCAAGATAAATGTGCCTTATTTTTTGATACGTCTTGTTACAATTTTGGTGTCTATGTTAATGTTTCTGGGGAAAGGTAGTTTATATAATACTTAAACTGTGTATCTCCTTTTTGACAATGCTGGCCACACTCTGATCTGCACCATGTTTGTGCTATCTTATTTTGAACATTTTGACTATCTGAATGTATTAAAATGATGTCGTAACATGAAACAGACAGAAAAAAAATTACTGTAAGATCTAAATTCGGCTGCTTTTAAAGAGAAATTGCAGCTTGATGCAGAGAGTTGATAGTAAGCAAGGTGTAACTGGCAAACCCATCAGAACATGTGCTTGCATGTCACAGACTGTGGTGACCTGTTAATTCAGAATCATGTGCCTATATTTTAACATTTTCACCTTGACAGTGTTCACATTACTGAAGAACGGAGTCTTACTTTTTGCTTTGTTTTCACTTAATTCATATTTAGTGGTGAATCCATTCAAGTGTGAAAATTATTTCCCAAAGTAGAGCTGCTGTTTACAGTTAATGTATATAAACATGCACCTGTGTATGATCCCATTTCCTAATCTTCATTTATTTTCACAACTTTCTTCTATCTCTTGCTTATGCATTACTTTCCAATACATCGTTGCTTATCTTTCATACTAATGCATGAAAAAGTCATCATAACTGGTAAAAAGATGTGCTATATCCTAACTCTAATATCCTTACTGTTATTTAATTTCATCATTGTTTTTCCACAGTGTATCAAATTATATCCTGTAGCTACAGGCTATCTTAAAAGAAAACTAAAGTGAAACTTTAATTTCATGCATTGTCACAGGTTGGATCTCTGAGACTCTGTAGATTTCCCTGCTTAAATCAATCTACTGTGCGTTTTGTAATTAATGGAATACTTAGGATCTGGTGCAGATTAATAATGTAAGAACCACTAACCACAAATGGAAAAATCAGACAGATCCAGTAAATGGATATTTTCATGCAATAAACATGTACTGTAACTTTTATTAGCTGTAGTATTTGAAAATACTATTTTTTGTTGGAACTCAAAGCATGGTAGGCTTGCCAGCAGAAAATTCCCATAACATTTCTTTTGTTGCATCCTCAGAATTGAAATGCTTCAGAGACTTACGTGTTCTGTACAAGAGAGCGTTCAAAATACTATTTGAGTTTTGTTAGGCAGAAAAGTAAAATCTTGATGCAATAATGTTTTAAAGTATTTTGCCTGTTAAAACTTCTTCCAAAACATGTTTCATATACCAGTCAATCTTTTATCATCAGCTGTACAATCAAGATGCCTTCCTTAACCAGCAGGTTTAATCTTTGTTCTTTTTTCTTGCATTTTTTTCTGTAACAATTTGGGATCCTTTCCTGAAATCCTTAGCTAAGCCAAAACTTCAGTCAAAGTCTGATAATAAATTTCACTTTAATTCGTTCAGAATGTGGATGGCTATGGGGTCTGGGATTATTTTTATTTTTAACAATTTTAAATAAATTCTTATGCTGTATTTTTGTTATATTGGATATTTCAATTAAGTTCTTTTTTTTTTTTTTTTTTTTTCCCCTGTGCATTGGCCACCTAATTCAATCATATTATTTTTTTTTTATCTATTTTAAAGCTGCTGGGTTTGTAACTACTGGTTAAGAGAACCAAGCATCCTTACCTTCCTTCCAATATGGTTTTAAAGACAATGTTGTGTAAGAAATGGGTTTAAATCTTGTAATTACTTTCCATACTAGAGTTGTACCTACCTGGAATTTTTTTTTACATTCCTTTATCTTAAACATCTTTGGTTTATTTGCTCATATTGTCTGAAATAAACTGATTTCAACTGAAGGTTTTGATATTTTTCTCTTGGAAGGTTTTATATTTCATGGGGATATGTAAAATAAGATCTCTAATAAAAGATAATGTTGTTGTGTTATGTGTTCAGTGTCATCAATGACTTAGTCATAGCTAATTTAAAGAAAAAATTTTAAAAGATAAAAACAACAAGCATGTCTTCCTTGAGAATGTTGATACATTGGTAGCTTTGGGGAATGACAATTATCTGTAGTGAGATGAACTGATGAAAGATGCAATCTGTTTCACAGTTGCTAAACAGAAAGATGCTAACTTCAGAGATGTAAACGTGATTGCACAGTGTGGGAATGGAATGGGCAGCTCTTCTTTCACAAAAGAAATATTGCACTGACTTAGCAGCAAATAGAAGGTGTAAAATTCTAGAATTATTTTTACTTGAATTAATCTAATTTCCCTTCTAAACATTTGAGAGTAATGGAACGGAAGCTGTTCTTGTATATTAAATTAACAAACACACCATTAGAAAGTAGTAAAAATAACAGTTCAACTGAAATTAGACAGAAGACTTTTAAGAAAATAATACAATGCTAATATAATATGCTGTAATTACATACAAGTTGAACAGGCATACACGCTTTACAGTTTTGCTTCCCAAAGTACTGGTTGAGTTTGAGCATAGTAAGTTGCAAAGACAATTAGTATAAATTTCAGTAAGTGCCTGAAACTTACTTGATGTTGTACTGGATAGTCTTCGCTATAAATACGAAAGTATACATATACATATACTATGTAAAGCCCCATAATTTTAAAGCTGATGATTCAAGATAAAAGGTAAAATTGTATGACATCTAATCACAGCATGCAACAATGTGTATGGGTCCAATTTAAAGCACCCCTTCACCTTTTTAAGGTCATCCTACTCTGGAATCTGTTATTGGCATGACCATCTGGATAGAACATATTCTACTAATAGCAGTTACCAATGAAATAGTCTTCTACTTTTTGAAACTAAATTAACCGTATTTGCATACCTGTCCACTATGTTTTAAAATAACAGGTGCTGAATTTCTCTACACATCTACACTGATACAGACAGTAAAATACATTGCTGAGATTTAGCAGGTGGTTAGTTATATATATGACAAAAATTTAAAACAGAAATTCGTTTTCCTAGTTTAGAATAACTCTTCTGTCATAATATTAAGAGTTTGCAACAACAAGCCAAAGGTATTAATTTTGTCTTCTAAAAAAAGGAGCATAGAAAAAATTAAAACATTATCTAGAATAAGCTCAGTTCATTTAAGAGCTTTGTGATTGTTAATGTTCTTACTGATACGAAGTTTCTCTATCTCCAAGCATTTCTGTAAATATTAAATTGTGGACCTGTCAATCTTTTAATATATGGTTTTTATGAGCTAGTTAGATATTGAAAGTCCAGATTTCATCACTAGTGTTCATCTGCCAGAATTTCTATGTAGTAGAGATAATGCATATTTATATTATTTTCTCACCTTACATAAATTATTTAATAATAATGAGGTTAATGAGAAAATTATTAAATAAAAAAATTCCATCATGTATGTAAACTTGTGCTGTTGGAACTGTAAATACAGGGATATTTTTAACCATGCATTTTAGAGCTTCAGGTTCTCTATATAACATATTCTTCCTGCTATAGAGTGTCTGTTAAAGGGATGCCCTTTGACAGTCTATAAAGTGATTCACATTATGGGTATCACTGAACAGGAGACTTTAATCCCAGCAATATCTGACCTGCTTTACCACCAGCACTGCTCCCTGTGCATCACACACATCTACCATACAGGAAGGCATGTGCCTCTTCCTCTCAAATCATGACCTGCAAAGTAACTTGTGGTGTTCTCAGCTATTCTAGTTTTATTTCTACCTCTTAGTTATACCTTTTGTACTACCTTCTCCTTCCTTAACATGCCAACCAAGTGTGTAGTCAGTTGTAGGCTCCAGCATGTCCACAGCCTTCCAGGTCTGCCCAGTATGTGCTACAGGGCAGACAGGCTGCAGTGTCAGCCAAAGCCTGAGATGTGCTGGATGTGATCGCTCAGCCAGCTCTTCAAGAATTACATGTGTTTAATCTACAATAAGCATGCAAATGGGGCACATGCCCTACTTGCTTGCCACAACTGCCTCACAACACTAACCTGCTTTTCAGGAACATACATTTTTCTTTCTCTGAAAATCCACTTGAACAGTCTTAGGTGCCGTTCTTTTTTCTCCGCTTCCCTTTCTTTTACCAGTTTCTTGAAAGAAATTTGTAAATTAGTGAGCTGGAATTGTGTGTGATCAAGAACAC